GAACACACATGGGGACAACCGGCGAGACTTTCACAATAAAAGTCTTTCACATAAATCAGGAAGAAAATCACGGATTATATTTAAACACATTATTAGAAAACATTCAGTCTTTTCTTGTCGGTCTGTTTCACTAATACATAAATAACCTGGTTTCTGATTAAACATCTAATTCCCGTCTCTGTGAGGATCGGGCTTTTATTCTGAAGGGCAGAAACTCGAGTTGGAAACTTTACACTTCTTTATTATAGTTTATTTATTATTTACAGATACATCCCCTTCATGTTTCTGTTTCCGGTCTCTGTTTGATTTGATCTGTTTTTAAACTTTTAGCAGAAACTTTAGTCTGAAAACAAACACCGAGGATCTTTTCATTCGACCAATCACAGAGAGGTACTCCCTCTGACTCCACAGCCGGTCTCTTCCCGCCGTTAGAACCAGGATCAGCTGATCGAGGAGATTCAGAGCATCAAAGAGCTGCCGACAGGTGAGGCTTTTAACCTTTAATATTAATATATATTATTCATGTGTTTGAACCTTTTTGTTAACTCTGTGTGAGCGGAGTGGCAGCTGGTCACGTGGTCATAATGACGTCATTACTGATGTTTCAGGGAGGAAACTGACAGAAAACAGGTTCATAACAGGTCGTAACATCACGTTAATAACAGTCTGGAAACACGTTAAAAACAGACAGAAAACAGGTTAAAAACAGGTCGTAACATCACGTTAATAACAGACGGAAAACAGACAGAAAACAGGTTAAAAACTGACGGAAAACAGGTTAAAAACGGACGGAAAACAGACAGAAAACAGGTTAATAACAGACGGAAAACAGACAGAAAACAAGTTAATAACAGACGGAAAACAGGTTAAAAACGGACGGAAAACAGACAGAAAACAGGTTAATAACAGACGGAAAACAGACAGAAAACAAGTTAATAACAGACGGAAAACAGGTGTTAAAAACTGACGGAAACAGACAGAAAACACGTTAATAACAGACGGAAAACAGACAGAAAACACGTTAATAACGGTCGTAACATCACGTTAATAACAGACAGAAAACAGACAGAAAACACGTTAATAACAGACGAAAAACAGACAGAAAACACGTTAATAACAGACGGAAAACAGACAGAAAACACGTTAATAACAGACGGAAAACAGACAGAAAACACGTTAATAACGGTCGTAACATCACGTTAATAACAGACAGAAAACAGACAGAAAACACGTTAATAACAGGCGGAAAACAGACAGAAAACACGTTAATAACAGGTCGTAACATCACGTTAATAACAGTCAGAAAGCTTCCACGTGTTCTGTGTTAAAGAAGGGTTTAAAACCGACAGAAAACGGATGAAATTGAACTTAGAAAGTGTTTTAAACACCAGGTCAATCTGAGAATGGATTAGAGCAGTCTGCAAACAGAGGAAGAGTTGCAGCACAGGCTTTAACATCTGATAACTGGGTTTAAAGGTCCTGAAGGCCTGCAGACAGAAACCAGGCTGAAAACAGGCTGAAAACGTGTCGTAACGTCAGGGTCAAACAGGAACTGTATCTGAGAACAGAGAGGAGAACAGAGAGGGAACACCATGTCCTGGAAACACATTACATCTTCTTGAAAGAAAGTGAAAACTGTAACACAGAGACCAGCTGATGAGCCTTTGGGAAAAGGAGATTAAAAACAGCCTGAAAACAAGAAAACAGAAATAGAATAATGTGTTTGAAAAGTGTCCGTCAGAAAGCAGGAAGCTGCAGGAGCATTTATATCAGTGAAGGAAACACGTGAAGCCACAACCAAGTCTTTGAATGCATCACCTCCATTGAGGTACTTGTACTTTAGTTGAGTATTTGTATTTGATGCTACTTTATACTTTTACTTTGAAGTATCTGAATCCACCAAATACAAAAGTAAAATGGTCTCACACTCGACCCGTATAAACTGGATAAAGTAATAACCATTATGTGTTCAAATATCCAACGAGTACATTTACTTCTGATACTTGAAGTACATGTACCTGTAACATGTTATCTGCACTCGTACTGTTGGTACTTTAACATTAATGCTCCTCCTTTCTGTACTTCTCAAATCAGTATTTGACTGGTGAAGGAGTATTTTAAGAGCGTAGTATTTGTGTTTTAAAGTAAACCCTGAGGCGCCTCTCAGTCAGATGATGCTCATCTCTTCATCTCAGAATCAATCAACTGCTTTCAGACTTTAAACCTCATTATTTCTGCCTCCTTCACACCCGGTCTGCCGTTCCTCTGTGAAGTCCCTGAACACACCATGAGCTCTCAGAATGCTCTCCTGACTGAGACGAGTAGATCTGCTGCAGGCGGTGCCTTCATGACCCTGACGTGTTTTGATGACCCTGACGTGTTTGATGACCCTGACGTGTTTGATGACCCTGATGTGTTTGATGACCCTGACGTGTTTTGATGACCCCTGACGTGTTTGATGACCTTGACGTGTTTGATGACCCTGATGTGTTTGATGACCTTGATGGTTTGATGACCTTGACGTGTTTGATGAGTCAGACGTGTTTGATGACCCTGACGTGTTTGATCACCCTGACGTGTTTGATGACCCTGACGTGTTTGATGACCCTGACGTGTTTGATCACCCTGACGTGTTTGATGACCCTGACGTGTTTGATGACCCTGACGTGTTTGATGAGTCAGACGTGTTTGATGACCCTGACGGTGTTTGATGAAGTCAGACGTGTTTTGATGACCTGACGTGTTTGATGACCCTGACGTGTTTGATGAGTCAGACGTGTTTGATGACCCTGACGTGTTTGATGACCCTGACGTGTTTGATGACCCTGACGTGTTTGATGACCCTGACGTGTTTGATGAGTCAGACGTGTTTGATGACCCTGACGTGTTTGATGACCCTGACGTGTTTGATGAGTCAGACGTGTTTGATGACCCTGACGTGTTTGATGAGTCAGACGTGTTTGATGAGTCAGACGTGTTTGATGACCCCTTGATGTTTGATGACCCTGACGTGTTGATGAGTCAGACGCGTTTGATGACCCTGACGTGTTTGATGAGTCAGACGTGTTTGATGACCCTGACGTGTTTGATGACCCTGACGTGTTTGATGAGTCAGGCGTGTTTGATGACCCTGACGTGTTTGATGAGTCAGACGTGTTTGATGAGTCAGACGTGTTTGATGACCCTGATGTGTTTGATGAGTCAGACGTGTTTGATGACCCTGAGTGTTTGATGACCCTGACGTGTTTGATGACCCTGACGTGTTTGATGAGTCAGACGTGTTTGATGACCCTGACGTGTTTGATGAGTCAGACGTGTTTGATGAGTCAGACGTGTTTGATGAGTCAGATGAACTCAGGAGCTTCAGAGAAACTCAACAGTTATTTTGAGACTTTTTGAGTTAAAGAAGTCAAAGTTCATGAGGCGTTGTGAAACGAGGAGTTCCTGAGAGACAACCGATATCTGAGGAGCAGAGTCCGATCACTCTGACTCCTCTGACTCCTCTGATATCTGAGGAGCAGAGGAGAGTTAAAGGGTCCTATACTCTCCTGTATGCTGTAGGTTTTAGTGCATGTTAACGGTCTATAAGGGTCGTTTTCTGTTATTCTGTCAAAGCGTCTTTGAGTTTATAGAAAAGCGCCAGAGAAGTATTATTATTATTATTATTATTATTATTATTATTATTATTATTATTATTATTATTATTATTATTATTATTATAACAAGGGCCAAAATCCCTGTCAGAATTATATATTCCAGAGCGTACTGAGGTAAAGACTGACTGACCACCAGACTAAAGTTTCGTGTGTGTGTGTGTGTGTGTGTGTGTGTGTGTGTGTGTGTGTGTGTGTGTGTGTGTGTGTGTGTGTCAGATGATGCTGGGTGTGTGTGTGTGTGTGTTGGCGCTCTCTGGTCTCGTGCACAGCGGACAGTCTCCTCACAGACTTCATGACGTGCAGCGGCGTTCAGATGACCCACGGCCCGGGCTGGACCCTGAAGTGCACATGAACATCGTGAGTTTACCTGTTTATAACCTGTACTGTCTAACGTCTGAACACAGAGCTTTCTGGTTAGTATTCCTACTCATTCTAAGTCCTGTTAATCTCTCTGGAAACAATCATCACATTCTGCTCCCTCAAGTCATCTGGACTGAGAGAGATTTTCAAAATAAAAGCTGAACTCTGTTCCCACTGAGAGTAAATAATCATGGCTCACATGTTTGACCCTTGCTCTACCTGTCAGTCAGAACTCAGGGTAAATATAGCCCTGAGTTCTGCCTGATACATAACATAAAGAGGAAGTGAGAAGTCTTCAAGTGTGTGTGTGTGTGTGTGTGTGTGTGTGTGTGTGTGTGTCAGTCTGAGATCATCAGGTACTGGGGTTACCCTGCAGAGGAGCACGAGGTCCAGACGGAGGACGGGTACATCCTGACCGTCAACAGAATCCCAGCGGGCCTCAAACGCACCGCAGGTACACACAAACACACACACACACACACAACACACACACACACACACACACACACACACACACACACACACACACACACACACACACACACACACACACACACACACCACACACACACGTGTGCAAATAATTATAACAAATATAATTAATAAAAAGAAGACATACAGAATTAAAGAAAATAAATAATAAATGTAGAAATAATAATAAAAACAATACAATAATATAATAAACCCCTGCATGTTAATGAAAGATAAATGAATATTGAATCAGTAGCATTGCCCCCCCTGCAGGCGGGGGCCCGGCGGTGTTCCTGCAGCATGGCCTGCTGGCTGCAGGCAGTAATTGGATAACAAACCTCCCAAACTCCAGCCTGGGGTTCGTCCTCGCCGACGCCGGGTACGACGTGTGGATCGGGAACAGCCGAGGAAACACCTGGTCCAGAAAGCACCTGACGCTGAGCCCCGAGAGCGACGCCTTCTGGAGCTTCAGGTGCGCCTTTTACAGTGGTCCCTGAACGCACCACGCTAGTTTTAGGTTATTGAACGCCCCACACTAAAAGTCAAAGTCAAAGTCAGCTTTATTGTCAATAATTCTACATGTTGTACATCCAGAAAATACCGAAATATCGTTTCCCGCCAGTCCTACAGTGTGACATATATACATCAAACAAAAAACAAAAAGGGCCTAGATAACCGGGGTATACAGTTTAAAATGTTAAAATATAGTTTTAGTTTGTTTTAGTTCTTGAACGCCCCACGCTAGTTTTAGTTCTTGAACGCCCCACGCTAGTTTTAGTTATTGAACGCCCCACGCTAGTTTTAGTTATTGAACGCCCCACGCTAGTTTATAGTTCTTGAACGCCCCACGCTAGTTTTAGTTCTTGAACGCCCCACGGCTAGTTTTAGTTCTTGAACGCCCCACGCTAGTTTTAGTTCTTGAACGCCCCACGCTAGTTTTAGTTCTTGAACGCCCCACGCTAGTTTTAGTTCTTGAACGCCCCACGCTAGTTTTAGTTCTTGAACGCCCACGCTAGTTTTAGTTCTTGAACGCCCCACGCTAGTTTTAGTTCTTGAACGCCCCATGCTAGTTTTAGTTCTTGAACGCCCCTCATGTAAACACCATCATGCCATTTCCACTGATCATAATTCCATTGTTGAGGTCTACTAGAATAGATTTATATTGTGCATCTCTCCAAACTCACATTGGTTTCTCATACAGCATCTCTCCAAACTCACATTGGTTTCTCATACAGCATCTCTCCAAACTCACATTGGTTTCTCATACAGCATCTCTCCAAACTCACATTGGTTTCTCATACAGCATCTCTCCAAACTCACATTGGTTTCTCAAACAGCATCTCTCCAAACTCACATTGGTTTCTCAAACACCATCTCTGTAAACTACGTGTATTCACTGAATTTCACTCTCTGCCTTTAACGGCTCGTTGTAGCTCCAATAGCTCCAGCCCCCACCCTCCCTGTGAGCACAGTGTGCTCTGATTGGTCGGGACGTTGTGAATCGCGCTGAGCTCCGTGGAGGTGTTGTTTCCTTGTTAGCATACACAGCCAAACACAGTCAAACTCATCCTGAGCACACACAAAGTCACAGCCGAAGTAAAAACAATAAGTGTGGCTTGATATTGAGTAAGAAAAAGGTTGATAAACGCTGTGAGAATGGGTCTGCAGAGAGAATGGGTCTGCAGAGAGAATGGGTCTGCAGAGAGAATGGGTCTGCAGAGAGAATGGGTCTGCGGAGAGAATGGGTCTGCGGAGAGAATGGGTCTGCGGAGAGAATGGGTCTGCGGAGAGAATGGGTCTGCGGAGAGAATGGGTCTGCAGAGAGAATGGGTCTGCAGAGAGAAAGGGTCTGCAGAGAGAATGGGTCTGCAGAGAGAATGGGTCTGCAGAGAGAATGGGTCTGCAAAGAGAATGGGTCTGCAGAGAGAATGGGTCTGCAGAGAGAATGGGTCTGCGGAGAGAATGGGTCTGCGGAGAGAATGGGTCTGCGGAGAGAATGGGTCTGCGGAGAGAATGGGTCTGCGGAGAGAATGGGTCTGCGGAGAGAATGGGTCTGCGGAGAGAATGGGTCTGCAGAGAGAATGGGTCCTGCAGAGAGAAAGGGTCTGCAGAGAGAATGGGTCTGCAGAGAGAATGGGTCTGCAGAGAGAATGGGTCTGCAAAGAGAATGGGTCTGCAGAGAGCATGGGTCTGCAGAGAGAATGGGTCTGCAGAAAGAATGGGTCTGCAGAGAGAATGGGTCTGCAGAGAGAATGGGTCTGCGGAGAGAATGGGTCTGCAGAGAGAATGGGTCTGCGGAGAGAATGGGTCTGCAGAGAGAATGGGTCTGCGGAGAGAATGGGTCTGCAGAGAGAATGGGTCTGCAGAGAGAATGGGTCTGCAGAGAGAATGGGTCTGCAGAGAGAATGGGTCTGCGGAGAGAATGGGTCTGCAGAGAGAATCCAACTGTCTGTTATCAGCCTGCAGCCAGGGAGGAGAAATCAGCTGCCTGCTCCCTGCACACAGATGTGTGTGTGAGGAAGTCCGTGGATTGGTCAATTTGGACCAATCAGCGGGGGCTTAACGTAACGGCTCCGCGGACGTAACGTAACGGCTCCACGGATTGGTCCATTTGGTTCCGGGTACCGCATGACCGTATCGCGTCATAGCTCTGGGCGTGGCTACTGGCCATCCCTACGTCACGATACCCAGGAAAGAACATGAGAAATCTCCAACGAGGCGTTTTGGGGAGGTCTTCTCTGTGTTAGAGTTTTACTCCCTACAGGGTGTACTTTGAGGGTTTTGACTCTGCACACCGTTTACATTCATAAAAACCTTCATAACACAAGGGGACGGGTAATAACCGGGAAAGCATGACATGGGACCTTTAAGAACAAATATAAAACAGAGCAGGACTAAATTAATCTGTGGATTTGGTTTAGTGAACTATGAAACTATGACGTTTTAAAATCTATGTGTGTGTGTGTGTGTGTGTGTGTGTGTGTGTGTGTGTGTGTGTGTGTGTGTGTGTGTGTGTGTGTGTGTGTGTGTGTGTGTGTGTGGTGTGTGTGTGTGAGTAGTTATGATGAGTTGGCTCTGAAGGACCTCCCTGCCGTGGTGAACCACATCCTGAAGGTGACGGGTCAGGAGCAGATTTACTACATCGGACACTCTCAGGGAACCACCATCGGTAACACACGCACGCACACACACACGCACGCACGCACGCACACACACACACACACACACACACACACACACACACACACACACACACACACTTGTTAATGAGCTTCCACACCTGACTCCGCCTCTCTGTCTCTGATTTCCCAGCATTCATAGCGTTCTCCGCACTGCCCGAGCTGGCCAATAAGATCAAGATGTTCATCGGTCTAGCTCCCGTAGCGACCGTCTCCTTCGCCTCCAGCCCGATGGCCAAACTCTCCATCATGCCCGACTTCTTCATCTGGGTACGAGATGCTAACGAGACGCTAACGAGATGCTATCAGATTACCTGCTAACTAAACTAATATCATAGATTAAAAAAGCTAAAACCTAAAAAGCGAATTACTTGTGACCTGCTAACCAGATGCTAACCAGATGCTAACCAGATGCTAACCAGATGCTAACCAGATGCTATCAGATAACCTGCTAACAAGCTAATATCACAGATTAAAAAAAGCTAAATCTAAAAAGCTAATTACACGTGACCTGCTAATGACTTCATATCACAGGATTGTTACCAAGCTATTAGTTATATTTTTCCTCAGTTCAGATGTTAATTGGTTAATTGATTTCCTGTCCCCAGGATCTGTTTGGTAGGCAGGACTTTCTGCCTCAGAGTCACATGATCGAGTGGTTTGCAGAACACATTTGTGCGGATCAGCCTCTCAGCAAGCTGTGCGGAAACATCTTCTTCATCCTCTGTGGCTTCGACGAGAAGAACCTCAACATAGTGCGTAACAACAACAACAACAACAACAAACAACGTTATTTAATTGCTCTTTTTACTGAACTGTTAGTGTACACTTTTATTTTTATGCTGCTGTGTTTATTGTATTTTTGTAATTCTGTCAACTATTTCTTTCGCGATAAATAAAGTCCTTTCTTATCTTATCTTATATTTAGATTGTCGTACGTTAAAATAAAAACCACCACTAGGGGGCGGGGTTATCATTTGAGTTTTGAAATATCTGTTTTTTGTTTCCAGTCTCGGACGCCGGTCTACACTGAACACTGTCCTGCCGGGACCTCGGTCATGAACATGGTCCACTGGGCCCAGGTAACACACACACACCTGTCTTCATGTACTTGTGGGGACCCTGATGTACATGATTCATTACCGGGACCCTAAACACCTCGTTGATTTCAGGCGGTTCACGGAGGGAAACTGATGGCCTTCAACTTTGGAGCCAGAGGGAACATGAAACACTACAACCAGGTGAGACTCTGCAACACCTGAGAGTCTCTTTCAGTTCAGTCATCAGTTTTTATACTTTAAATCTTTCTTAGTTTTGTTTGGCTCCTCAGAACTCAGGTTGCATGTCTGAAACTAGTTTCAAAACAACAACAAAAGAAAACTGACAATGTTTAAGATAATGACGTGAAAACACATCAACTGATGCAACTCAGCAAAGGTGTAACACCAAAACAACACTTACTGATATATTTGTGTAGTAATAATATATACTGGGTTTTTAAAATGTCTCAACAAATCTGTGTCTTGCCTAAGTATATATTTATATTTCTTCTTAATTTTCTTAAATTACAATATTGGTTTGGTAATAATATTATTAACATTTTATTACATGGCTTAGTTGATTCTCAATTCAGAACATGTGACACGTTGTTAATCCAGAACAGACAGACCGCTGTCAAGGACTTATTGACCGTTGTTAAGGACGCTCACATCTGCAGAAAGAAGTCCGGTCGATTTAACTGTTTACAGTTTGGCTGAAAAGCAAACTGCATGCTGCTTGCTTTTCTAACTGACAAGACAAGAGCGACAAGGAAACAGCGGAGAAGTAACGGGGCAGAAACCCTCCTCCGCAGCGGTCCAGACATAGACATCAAACAGCAACACATATTCAGTGTGCAGTTCCTTTGGCATGAGGGCAGGGATATCTAGATCCTTCCAAAGGTCTGACATCATGAGTTGTGCTACTTTTAAAGCAAGCAACCATGTTTTCAAATCTGTAATCAAAAAGCTCCTCAAAAACGCTATCGAAGCAGTTCCTGCTGTTGCTACGTAGTTCAAACGGTAACAACGGACTATTTTTCTTAGGGGATCAAGAAAGAGAAAGGAAATGAGGTTAAAAGGCGGAGCGCTGGACGTCAGATAAATCCCCAGAAGAAGACAGAGAGGAAGTGAACATTAACAGGAACACGGTATGAGCTCTGCAGAGTTTAAGGACTTGTTACGGACCGTCCACACAGCAGCGTTAAAAAAAAATCTTGGAACGCTTCTGCCCATTCACTTTGAATGGGGTGACGTCACTTTCCCTTACTTTTCGCCGAAATGCATTGTGGGAAGCAGAGCGGAGATTTTCAGGATTTTCAGGATTCAAAGTTGAGCAATGTTCAACTTTTGAAGCTGAGTGTGGAAGCGTCAGCCAATCAAATCCCGTTTATGCAAATCTGACAGTACAAGCTCTAGCCAATCAAACGGCGTGTAAGCTGGGAGAGACATACCACAGGTCATTTCCTCATATTCCAAAACATGGAGGAGAAATGAGCGGTAGGGAATCACCCGGTGCTTTATGACCAGTCCCTATTTACCTACCGGGATACAAACCGGAGGAGCCAGGCATGGAGGGAGGTGGCAGAGACAGTGGTAGGTTCTCGCCTGTTTGGGGAGTTTATATCCAGTTTACTTCGGGCTTTTTTGCTTCGTATGTCGGGGGCGGGAGATTCATGTGATTGGTTGTTGGTGCCTTGCTCGCAAAAAATCCCCAAGCTTCAGATACGCCCACCTCCAAGATTTTTTTTAACGCTGCTGTGGAGACGCTCCGTTAGTGGATCAGAAACTGTGAACAGAGTTGGACGGTGCTGCCGTAAAGTTGTTTGTTGTCGCAGTTCCAGCCGTTGGTGCGCCGTGGAACGGAGTTATTTTTTCTTAGCGGAAGAAATACGATCATTTTTAAATCATTTCAATTAATATTGGGAGTCGATTCCTTAGTTTTGTTTAGTATCTGTAATAAGTGGGATAGTGTGCAGCGAGGCGGTTATGGGGAAAAGAGCACCCGACAGGCTGATCAGGGAGCCTGACGCGAGGCGGAGGGATCTTGATCAGCAGGAAGGGTGTTCTTTTCCCCATAACAAAGAACATGTGCCTCGCTGCACATTATCCCTTACTTAGTAACTTTAAGAATGGGTTGAATTCATCAGGAAACCAATATGACATGAGAAAGAGCTCCTGACCTGCTGTCCAAGCTCACATTAGACTTTTTAAATGTCTGTAATGTTAAGTGTACTGGAAAGATAAAAACAACACTTCCTGTCCTCAGTCCACTCCCCCTCAGTACAAGGTCCAGGACATGAAGGTTCCCACCGCGCTGTTTTCAGGGGGACACGATACGCTGGCGGACCCCAAAGACGTGGCTGTCCTCCTCACTCAGGTCCGACTCTCTCTCCTTCACAATGAAACCTTTAAACCAGGAAAACAATAAAGAGCAGAATAAAACTCCATCATTGTTAACCTTGTTATTCTGAAAGGGTTTCGATATTAAACATTTATTTATTATCTTATTTATATATTGCACGTCACTGTACATTTACATTTATATTCAATCTAATATGTAATATTCCATTCCTCTCATACTTCATTATATATAATATCCTGCTTCATATTCTGTTACTGCACATCTGGAATTCAACATTTTATTTCTATGGAGATGTTTACATTTTGGATTGTTTATTGCTTTTAATTGTTATCGTACAATGCCAAAAGCTTCCCAAATTGGGATCAATAAAGTACTTCTGATCTTATCTTCTGATCTCCTCACGGCGTCCTGCAGGTATCGAACCTGGTGTTCCATAAGCACATCGAGCACTGGGACCATCTGGACTTCATTTGGGGTCTGGATGCTCCGGAGCAGATGTTCCCGTCCTCCTGAAGCTGCTGCAGGCAGGACCGCCACTAGAGGGGTCGGCCACACCGTGTGTGAGGGCCTGTTCACGTCTGCAGCACAGCGTGGGGACCGCTGGACTTTACACCAGCAGCAGGACCTCTAAAGGTTTCAATGAGGAAAGTGTGTGTTGTGTAGTATGTGTGTGTGTGAGCGTGTGTGTGTGTGTGTGTGTTGTGTCTGTGTGTGTGTCTGTGTGTGTTGCTCTGATGTGAGCGTGTGTGGGGGTGTGTGTCTGTGTGTGTGTCTGTGTGTGTCTGTGTGAGCGTGTTGTGTTGTTGTCTGTGTGTGTGGTGTCTGTGTGTGTGTCTGTGTGTGTGTAGCTGTGTGTGTGGTCTGTGTGAGCGTGTGTGTGTGTGTCTGTGTGTCGCGTGTGGTGTGTGTGTTCTGTGTGTGTGTATGTGTGAGTGTGTGTGTGTGTTGTGTGTGTGGTGTGTGTGTGTTGTGTGGCTGTGTGTGAGTGTGTGTGTGTGTTGTGTTGTCTGTGTGTGAGTGTGTGTGTGTGTGTGTGTGTGTGTGTGTGTCTGTGTGTGAGTGTGTCTGTCTGTGGTCTGTGTGTGTGTGTTTAAGCAGGGCTCTACCTATAGACCTTTTTTAACATGTTTTAATCTGTTGTAATCTTTGAGACGAGTCGGTCGGTCTATAAAATTCAGAAAGGGTTAAATCTGAACATGATGGGATATTGATTCAATTATCAGAACAATAGGTTTGAATGTATAACTGAAAATGAACTGTGACCTCTGATAATTAACCCAGCCAACAATATAACTAATCCATATCTGCATCAGCTCTTACGTTACCGCATGAATAATAATCACTTTTTATAAAGTATAAAAGCACATTTAGCTTTTATACTCAACGCTTTCTAACATGCAGTATTAGTGGTTAAAGAAAGACGTTCCCATCAGCCCGCACTGTGTTCTATGTTTACTGCTCGTTAGCACGTTAGCTTGCTGTTAGCATGCAGTCAGTGTTCACCTGTTGAAACACCTGGACTGTTACCTCAGAAAACATCTGTATACCTCTTTAAAGTGTCTCTGTCTGAGCAGCAGGAAGTCACATGTTCATGTTATCCTTTCATTCAACCTGTGTGCTGCCTCACTTCTGGTCCAATACACAACTCCTATCCTGCTGTCAATCAGGAGGAACCACAGCATCCAATCAGGAGCCTTGTGGGGGCGGGGCTTCACTTTTACCGTCTTTTTATTGTAATTTCTGACATTTTCTAATCTGTGAAATGTGAACAATAATAAATCATAACACAACACACTCTTTACACGTTTTATTTAATTATTTAAGAGAATTTGAAATGTATAAATTGATCTGTATGTTACATCTTATCTACAAACAGATTTAAGAACAAATGACTTCACTTCTAAAAGGATCATCTTTTTTCTCAAAGCAATGATAAACCTGTGCATTTTCCGTTTCTCTGGAACCCATCGTCGATGTTGATGATTGACATCTCTTTTGAACCAGCCAATAGAATCGAGGGGAAGTCCCTCAAATCCATCCAAACATGACCCATTGGTGAATAGAGTGATGCGTAGCCAGAATGCTCTCACGCGCTGGATCATCAGAGATCATTTCAAAGTGACCTTCAGCAGCTTTCTATGCGTTTCATTGAACACGACTTTTGATCAGAAACAGCTGTTTTCCGTAGAGCTACGTTGTGTGTTGTCTTATCTCGCCTTCGCTGCCGTGATTCAGACGCTCGGCGTTAGAGTTGTGTTTCGTTCAGCTACAAATGGTTCATATCGTCAGGTAGCTGAGTGTCTTCCCGTTAAGTGGGTATGACACATTCATAGGTTGTTAAATGTTAAGAAGTGTTAAGTTGTGTTTTCCCGGGCGGGGGGCGGGGCATGGGGGTTAGGGTTAGTGAGTAGTAGTTAGCGCTCCTTCTTCAGCAAGTTCACGATCCTCCTGAACTTCAGTCTGCTGGAGACGTCCAGCGCGGGTTTCTCCGTCCTGCAGGAGAGGGAGGAGGAGGAGGAGGAGGAAGGTGGTCAGTTTGCAGGGAGCTGAGGGTTTGTGTCGTGGTGCGTTCACGGACCTACGTTGTTCTGGATGTTGGTGTCAGCGTGTCTCTCCAGCAGCAGAGGAACCAGGATCTGACTCTTCCTCAGACAGACGTAATGCAGGGCCGTGTTCCCCTTCTGCACACACACACACACACACACACACACACACACACACACACACACACACACAACACACACACACACACACACACACACACACACACACAACACACACACACACACACACACACACACACCACACACACCACACACACACACACACACACACACACACACACACACCACACACACACACACACACACACACACACACACATTTAAAATATATATTGTGAAGGGATTCTGATATACTATAACTACTGTATATAAATATATAAAATAAAATAAATTAACAGCCAAAACATGTAATTGTTCTCTAACGTTGTGATTCCAGAGAAACTCCTAAATATGAATAATGTTAATTTAACGTTTTGATCAGAAAGCGTTCCTGTTCCTCGCCGAGCGTCTCTGTCTCGACTCGTCGGGTTTTGTAGGAAATGAAAGAATGTGAATGATTCAGATCAGGGCGTGGGAACGTGAGAGGAAACAGATCCTAACTGCAGATCAGATGAGACGAGATCATTCAGTCTGAACATGAAGCACTTTCTGTTCTCACTGACATCAGGACGCACCTGATTAGCATCTGTAGCATCGGGAGCTAACATTAGCATCTGTAGCATCGGGAGCTAACATCACATTCAAACAGTTTATAAACTTCACAGAAACATGTCTGATTTATTTCTGTGTGAAACATGTAGAAACCAGAGTTAGCATGAGGTCATTCATACAGAGGTCTAATGATGCTAAGCTAACTGGTGATATCTCACTTTGTCAAATGCTACTAGCATCATGTTTCAGAATGTGAGTTTGTTGTTATTTATATCAAATCACTATAAAACATGATTTATCAAGTTTCAGTTCAGATACGTCGACCGAAATGAACCTGTCAGGTATTAGCATGCTAACGTTAGCTTTTTCAGTTAGCATGCTAACGTTAGCTTTGTCAGTTAGCATGCTAACGTTAGCTTTGTCAGTTAGCCACACAACAGTATTTTATACATTTAGTCACTGTAAACAAAAACAAATATGTTGCGAAAAATAACCTCGACATGAAAACACAGTAATAGTTAATATTAGTAAACACACATGTTAGCACGAGGCTACATCTGTTACGACGACATGTTACGCATGGGGGACCAATGTAAAAGTAGGTTAGCAAAATGCTACTTTCGTTAGCACGTTTTCCAATGTTCACTCACGTAGTCGACAGCATCAATGTTGACGTCGCTGCTCAGTACCGCCTCCATCAGAGACACACTCTTCCTCTGCTTCTGCAACTACACACACACACGCACACACACACACACACACACACACACACACCACACACACACACACACACACACACACACACACACACCACACACACACACACACACACACACACACACACACACCACACACACACACACACACACACACACACACACACACACACACACACACACACACACACACATATATACATATATAAATACTATGTATATGTATATTTGTGTGTGTCTGTACACAAACTTGCTCGGATCTGTCATTAGCCCGCATGGTTTTCATACCACTGCTACGCTGACGACACCCATTCATTCTGTCCTTTCCCCGCTCAGAGACCCAGGTCGTCGCACGCATCTCTGCTTGTCTAGCAGACATCTCTCAGTGGATGTCTGCTCACCACCTCAAGCTCAACCTTGACAAGACTGAACTGCTTTTCCTTCAGGGAAAAGATTGTCCCACTCTTGATCTAACAATCAACATCGGCCCCTCTGTTGTTTCCCCGACTCAGACTGCAAGGAATCTGGGTGTGACCCTAGATAACAACCTGTCCTTCACTGCAAACATCGCTGCTACAACCCGCTGCTGCAGATACACTCTTTCCAACATCAGGAGGATACGTCCCCTCCTGACCCAGAAAGCAGGTTCTGGTCCAGGCTCTCGTCATCTCACGCCTAGACTACTGCAACTCCCTCCTGGCTGGTCTACCTGCATGTGCCATCCCACCTCTGCAGCTCATCCAGAATGCAGCGGCTCGTCTGGTCTTCAACCTTCCTAAATGTTCCCACACCACACCGCTCCTCCGCTCCCTTCACTGGCTTCCAGTAACTGCTAGAATCCACTTCAAGACACTGGTACTTGCGTACCATGCTGTGAATGGATCTGGCCCTTCCTACATCCAGGACATGGTTAAACCATACACCCCAGCACGTGCACTCCGCTCTGCATCAGCCAAACGGCTCGCTGCACCCGCACTGCGAGGGGGACCCAAGTTCCCATCAGCAGAAACACGTGGGTTTGATATCCTGGCTCCAACATGGTGGAATGAGCTCCCCATTGACATCAGGACAGCAGAAAGCTTACACATCTTCCAGAGCAGACTGAAGACTCATCTCTTTAGACTCCACTTTGAGCAATACAATTACTAACAAAGCACTTATATACTAACAAAGCACTTATATACTAACAAAGCACTTATATACTAACAAAGCACTTATATACTAACAAAGCACTTATATACTAACAAAGCACTCGTATACTAACAAAGCACTCGTATACTAACAAAGCACTCGTATACTAACAAAGCACTTATATACTAACAAAGGACTTATATACTAACAAAGCACTTATATACTAACAAAGCACTCGTATACTAACAAAGCACTCGTATACTAACAAAGCACTCGTATACTAACAAAGCACTCGTATACTAACAAAGCACTCGTATACTAACAAAGGACTCGTATACTAACAAAGCACTCGTATACTAACAAAGCACTTATATACTAACAAAGCACTCGTATACTAACAAAGCACTCGTATACTAACAAAGCACTTATATACTAACAAAGGACTTATATACTAACAAAGCACTTATATACTAACAAAGCACTTATATACTATCAAAGCACTTGTATACTAACAAAGCACTTATCTAAAGCTAGTTGAGTAGCACTTGAAATGTTTTGGCTCTATGAAACCTGATGTACTTATATGATTCTGTTTTCTTCTAGTTTGTATCTTGTTGGTCGAATGCACTTATTGTAAGTCGCTTTGGAGAAAAGCGTCTAACAGGTGACATGAGATGTGATGTGATGTGATGTGATGTGATGTGATGTGATGTGATGTGATGTGATGTGATGTGATGTATGTGATGTGATGTGATGTGATGTGATGTGATGTGATGTGATGTGATGTGATGTGATGTATGTCATGAGATGTGATGTGATGTGATGTGATGTGATGTAATGTGATGTGATGTATGTCATGAGATGTGATGTGATGTGATGTATGTCATGAGATGTGATGTGATGTGATGTGATGTGATGTGATGTGATGTGATGTATGTCATGAGATGTGATGTAATGTGATGTATGTCATGAGGTGTGATGTGATGTGATGTGATGTGATGTGATGTAATGTGATGTGATGTGATGTGTGTGTGTGTGTGTGTGAGTGTGTTGTTGTTGTGATGTGTGATGTGATGTGATGTGATGTAATGTGATGTGATGTGATGTGATGTGATGTGATGTGATGTAATGTGATGTGATGTGATGTGATGTCATGAGATGTGATGTGATGTGATGTGATGTCATGAGATGTGATGTGATGTCATGAGATGTGATGTAATGTGATGTATGTCATGAGATGTGATGTGATGTGATGTCATGAGATGTGATGTGATGTCATGTGATGTGATGTGATGTCATGAGATGTGATGTGATGTGATGTCATGTGATGTGATGTGATGTAATGTGATGTATGTCATGAGATGTGATGTGATGTGATGTGATGTATGTCATGAGATGTGATGTGATGTATGTCATGAGATGTGATGTGATGTGATGTGATGTATGTCATGAGATGTGATGTGATGTGATGTATGTCATGAGATGTGATGTGATGTGATGTGATGTGATGTCATGAGATGTGATGTGATGTCATGAGATGTGATGTAATGTGATGTATGTCATGAGATGTGATGTGATGTGATGTCATGAGATGTGATGTGATGTGATGTCATGTGATGTGATGTGATGTCATGAGATGTGATGTGATGTGATGTGATGTGATGTGATGTAATGTGATGTATGTCATGAGATGTGATGTGATGTGATGTGATGTAATGTGATGTGATGTGATGTGATGTAATGTGATGTATGTCATGAGATGTGATGAGATGTGATGTGATGTGATGTAATGTGATGTATGTCATGAGATGTGATGTGATGTGATGTGATGTGATGTGATGTGATGTATGTCATGAGATGTGATGTGATGTGATGTATGTCATGAGATGTGATGTGATGTGATGTAATGAGATGTGATGTGATGTGATGTGATGTAATGAGATGTGATGTGATGTGATGTGATGTGATGTGATTACATGAGATGTGATGTGATGTGATGTGATGTGATGTGATGTACCAGGAGGAAGTATCCGAGCAGCAGGATGGGCATCAGGATGGCGATCAGCAGGTAATCGATCAGAGAGAACGTCCTCTTGGAGACGTAATGAAGACAAGTCCTCTGTTTCTGAGACACACACACACACACACACACACACACACACACACACCTTACATCAACGATAATACTGATATATGTTTATATCAATATGAACTAAAACATCCCATAATAGCCTCATCAGTGTTACTCCTTTAAATATATACTTATCTTTATATACACAGTTTAAATGATGACATCATCAGCCGGACTCACCTGATTGGTCAGCTGGGCGTCCGCCCCGTTGTCGAGCAGATACTCCACGACCCTCAGGTTGCCGCGGGCGACAGGCTGCGATGAGGGGCGTGTCTCCGCTGATTGGCTCCTGGACGTTGAGCTGGGCGGAGTCATCTCTGAGAGCCGAGTAGAGGCGCTGCACGTCTCCAGAGGACGCCCATCGGCACGCAGGCTTCAACACATTATTATATATTATTATATTATATATTATCATATTACTGTGAGGAGCCAACCCTTTCATTACATTCATCTCAGGAGAACATGACATCACTCCGTTTGCTTCACAGTGACCTCACGAAGGAACACTCATGCTCCTATTGGCTAGCACTCCAACACATTGTAACCTAATCTAACCACCTGAGGGCACCACGTGTTGTTGGCGCCACACTATCTACACACACTTTGTATGGAGACACACACACACACACTTTGCATGGACACACACACACACACACACACTTTGCATGGACACACACACACACACACACACACACACACACACACACACACACACACACACACACACACACACACACACACACACACACACACACACACACACACACACACACACACACACACACACACACACACACACACAGCAGTAAACCAGTTGGACCCGTTCTGTTCTCTAACAGAAGCACTTGTTGCTCGATTCTGCAGAGAGTTATTTTAATCTGAAGCAGATGTCTCCAGATGTCTCCAGATGTCTCCAGGTGTCTCCAGATGTCTCTGCAGACTCCTCACATTGTGTTTGTGATCAGGTCCAGCTGCTGTCTGTCTGATGGTTATAAAACTGATCCAGGATCTGAAAGGATCTGCTGATGCAACCTCTCCTCTGATAAACATAATATATGATATAATGATCTGCATGGCACGAGATGAAAAGTCAAGATCTCCTGATAACTCAGAGTAGACCCTCTGTTGGGTGGACTAGCTTTTGATATCAAATAAACATATTTATTAAAATATTATTGTTTTAGACATATATGTTTTTTTATCAATATTTCAGTAGAAATGATTTAATACCATTCATTTGATACTTTATCAATCAAACAATTGTCTTTCATTTGTATTTATTTTCTACTTCTGTCTCTTTAGTATTTATTCACTGACGGTTTGTCCCCGTGTCTGTGTGTGTGTGTGTGTGTGGGTGTGTGTGTGTGTGTGTGTGTGTGTGTGTGTGTGTGTGTGTTTGTGTGTGTGTCTGTGTGTGTGTGTGTGTGTGTGTTGTGTGTGTGTGCGTGTGTGTGTGGTGTGGTCTGTGTGTTTGTGTGTGTGTGTGTGGTGTGTGTGTTTGTGTGTGTGTGTGTGTGTGTGTGTGCGTATGTGTGTGTGTGTTGTGTGTGTGTTGTGTTGCGTGTGTGTGTGTGCGTATGTGTGTGTGTGTGTGTGTGTGCTTTGTGTGTGTGTGTTTGTTGTGTGTGCGTATGTGTGTGTGTGTGTGTGTTTGTGTGTGTGCGTGTGTGGGTGCGTGTGTGTCAGCTGTGGACTGATGTCGTCACCAGGTAAACTGTCTCACCTGTCGCCTGAACTGACCGGAAGTTACCTCCGATAAAACGCGGTAAATAAAGTAATAAAAGTGTAATCAAGAGAGTTTCCTCACCTGAGAGTAAACCAGCCCCATGATGTCCGGAACTCTGAGAGCTCACCTGCCGTCACAGAGAACTCACACACTTCCGGTCCAGCGTTTTCAAAATAAAAGTCCACAGGAAGTGAGAGCTCTCTTCCTGTTGTTCACTAAATATATATTTCACTAAATATTGCATTGATTTTACATTATAACTAATACAAAAATAACAATGTTTACAGTAAATATTATATAATACAACTACCAGTGAATTTAATGATTTTATATAATACATGTTTAAATTAGAATCTATATCTTCTGCATTTAATTTAGACCTTATGAATAACTTTAGCACTAAATATGATCTGTCTCTGTTCGCAGTTTCACACCTAACACAGAGGGGGTTTCTCAATGTCGAGGAAGGATGCTTCAGAGCCACTATTTCAAGGATGCTACGTCATCGTGTTGTCTCATTAACATAGAGGGGGTTTCTCAATGTCAAGGAAGGACCGCGGTGAAGTTAGTTTTAGGTTGGATATATCGACGGACATTCGCGGACCCGCCAGCAGCGTCAGTTTCCCGGACCCGCCAGCAGCGTCAGTTTAACGGGGAGATCTTCTCCGCGAAACGAGGCTTTCACTTAGGGACCATCAACAAATGACTTTTACAATTACACAAGAAAAAATATGTTTTTAATAAATCGACAGCTTCTCGATCGTGTGAATGTGAAGCAAATTCACTGTAGAGCATACATTTATTGAACACACCTCTTTTTATTGCATTTTAATACTTTAAATATTTTATATTAATATTTTGATGGAAAAATGAGTTTATGTCTTCAATACCTTCCAGGTCATGTGACCTAATCACTCAAAATCAATGCTGGGTCAAAGAACTACACTGGCTGCATAGGACACACCTCTTTTTATTCCATTTTAATACTCTAAATATTTTATATTAATATTTTGATGTAAAAATTAGCTTATTTCTTCAATATCTTTCAGGTCATGTGACCTAATCACTCAAAATCAGTGCTGGGTCAAATAACTTCACTTGCTGCCAGGATAACAACCTCCATCTCAACGTCAGCAAAACCAAAGAGCTGATTGTGGACTACACAGGGACAGAGTCTGTGGGGAAAGATGAAGATAAGAATGATGACGAAAAACAGTCTTCCAGCCCACCTACAGGTGAGGAAGACGAGGACACAAGTCAGGATGACAGGGAAATAAGTAACGCACAGCCACAGTCTGAGATAGACACAGAAGAGTCAGACCAGCAAAGTACAGAGACAGCCACCGAAATGACAACACAAATGAACAGAAAGTGCAAAGCAGGGCCAAAAAAGTTCAACATTGCCATGACAAGAAAACAATGGAACAAAATTAAACCTAAACATGGCAAACAAAAACTCCGTCCCCCCTGGACTGATACATTTGATCAGGAATCTTTGAAAAAGAATCCATGCTGCACACTTGCTTTCAAATACCAGCATGTTAAGACAAATGATAGCCGTAAAAAGAATTCGCCATTTTTCTGTGCCTCTGCAAAATGCACATTTAATGGATGCAACGCTGTCTACAGTTTCTCAAAAAGAACAGGCCAAAATCAACGGATACAAAAATATTTTTAAAAGTCATGCGTATTGGTGAAGTTATACACCATAAAAATCAAAGGCGATTTAGACCAGCAAATACACAAGAAGAGGAACCATTTCCAAAGCCTTAACCAGTGGTGTCAGCAATTATTATTACACTATGTTAAGACAGACACCAGTAGAGGAAATAATGGCTGGTAACATAAGCAGAAGCCTCACCAAAGATGTGTTAAAGACAATATCCTCTGAAGTGAAGAAAAGTGCAAGGCTCCACGATGACATGATGCTTGAACTCATGTTGACTCAAAAAATAATCAAAGAGAGCAGCAGTCATGCATCATCAAAAGGCTATCTTCAGCACCTACAGATCCGTTTGCTGTACATTTATACACAGATGCTGGAATAAAAATGTTGACTGAGCACGTAAAAAAGCCAACACCTACGACTCTCTACCTTGATGCCACAGGCAGCGTGATACAGAAAAGTCCTGATCAAAATAAGCGGGTCTTGTACTATGCTTTGGTTTTGCCCGGAATGGTAAGGATAAGCCTCGCTTGCCTGTCACAGAACTGATCACCAACAGCCATTCCATCTATTTCCCATTGGCTCATGGAATTTAAAAGAAAGTTGTCTTACACAACAAAAAGAAAGATAGCACAGGTTGAGACAGATTATAGTTGGGCTCTGATAAACCGTGTGCTTCTGTCTTTTAACAGGGAAACACTCATTTGGTGAAACAGAGCAAAATGTACCTTGACAAGTGCATTTTGCAAACTCGGGACGTGAAACTGGAGGAAAGTGGACATGTAATGGGAGAGGAGGAAAGCAAAATGGAAAAAAAGGCTCATAGCATTATGGGAAAGTCCCCTTTTACACGAGCTTTTCAAGTCAGGCGGGACCAAGCAGAGTGTGACATTCTCTCTGACGATGCTGTTCGTGTAAAAAACCACTACCTCTGTCCTGGTGTCATTGATGCACTGTTAAAAAACGACATGGGGATCTTCCCATTGTGGAGTGGTTTGCTGCTTGGGGATCTGTCGCGACATACAAAAGGTACCTCTAAAAAAGATGGAAGTCATAAAACCAGGGATACCAACTGCCATGTTGAGCTCTGGTTTGGGTTGGTCAAACACTCCATCCTTTTAAAAAAAAAGTACCTGAGACCAGCAGAGTTCATCTCCAAAATGTATGCCTCAATATATTACACATTGAGCAACACAATCTGCCAATGCATATTCTGGACAAAAACTTTGGACATCCTAGCAGGCCAGAGGATGACCACGAGGAACAGTGGAACAAGCGGGAAAGTTCTGCTGGTCACACCAAGTCCAAGTCCAAGTACTTCAATCCACCAAAAACACTACCCAACCCCAAAGCCCACCTGCCACAAAGCTGAAGAAAAGAAAAGTGGACCAACAGGAAAAAGATGCACAGGGAAATGTGAGTTTCTCTAAGACTTACTATGTTCAAAGTGTGTCAATTGTTCTCCAGCATTGTAATTGTAACAATGGAATAAGTAAATATTGTCAGAAAGTAAAGCATGGACTAAATTGGTAAAGAGTGAGGTGAAGGACAAAGGACATGAAGTATTATAACCCAAGATGATTAAGTGCATGTTGTAGGGGGAGAATATGAAGATGAAAAATGTAAATGTAAATACAGCATACAAACTTATAACAGAAACTAGATTTCTAAATCAGACTTGAAACTGCAATTACAGTTTCTGTTCCTGAGCAGCCTGTTTAATGTCATTTAGTGAAAACTCTAAAAGGGAAAAGGTTAAATGCATAAACATGGACAGTTTAATTATATTCTGTGTATGTAGCTTTGATGGTGCATATACAAAAACAAGGCCTTCACCCAAAAATTCAAGATTGTTAACCCTCTGGTATCATTCAAATGCACTACCCTAATTAGTCATTCGGGACAAAAATGTCCAGAGTGATACCGGAGGGTTAAAAGATTCCTCAAGTGTCCATATTAAACAGAATGCATCTATTTCCCCTCAATCCTGACTTGCAGTGGACCTGGCTGGGGGAAAGGACACCGAGGTGGTCGTGGCAGTGCTCCCCTCACAGATGAAAGGACGCATCTTACTTATCCGCCACTGTGAGCTATGCTCACTTCGACCCCACCAGTGGTTGACAGGGGAGGTACGTGACTACATGTTTCAAGTGTCTGAAGTTTCACTCTACACTGTGTCATTTTCTTTATCTTGCATTTAACGATTTCTGCCAAAAAAATATCTGAAAAAAATGTCTAGATACTTTTGTCAGTCACAAGATTCTCAAAGTTGCAGGAAATGAAAGTTCAGTAAAACTGGGAATATGCATTAATTGGCTAATTGTTATGATCTTTTTTGCAAGGTAATTGAAGGCGTGTTTCATGTTGCTGCCGACAAATTCGGCGTTGTGAACAAATAAACAAACTACTAATGTAGTATTCACTTGAACACAGAAAGTTTCATTGACAAAACTTCGCTTCCGAATATCTCAAAATTCCAATAATAGGACCGTTCTATATCATATATATGTATGTATATAGAAGCTGACATACATGTATTGTTATCTTGTTTCAGTCCTTGATGAGCACACTTATTGTGCTATGTGTGCTGCCTTAAGGCCTCCAGGATCTCCCATCACAAACTGGGTGAGCTGTTGTGAAGAAAATGTGGAATTGTGATGTCTACATTTATTTTTTAATGTATTCATGTATTGAACAGGGACAGTGCACATTAATGAACATCTCTGTAAATGTGCCAGAGTTAGCCAAGAGGCTATTTCTCATCTGTAGTCCCTGGACAGATTTTAAAAGTCAACCTAAAACACATTTAATTTTAAACTTAAATACAATACATTTAAAACATGCAACACACATTACTGGAATACTTAAATAAAACAATTTAAAAGACAGAACAATAAAACAAAAACAAAACAAGAGCATGTTAAAACACAGGCAGTGGGTTTTAAGGACCAGATGATTGTGTCAGCTGATTCCTCACTAACACTTGAGTATTAAGACAACTGAATGGTAATCTAAGCTACAAATATATAAATACATTATTTCTTTCACTTCAACAGATTCAGTGTGATGACTGTGAGCGATGGTACCATGCCCAGTGTCTGGCAATGGACAGCAGAGACTTTAAAAAGGCAGAGACAGGATATTGGAAATGTCCTTTGTGCAAGTAATACTTGAAATGTGCTCAATGATGACGATTAGTAAAACATGTGTCCTGTGTAGCCTTGTTTGTATTACTTTCTGATCATTAATCACTGGGTCACATGACAGGGAAGCTATAGCAAAAACCCTGAATTTTCCATAGAAATATTAATATTAAATAGAGGATGTAATATTATCCGATATAAAGATTGATTTTGAGTGATTAGGTCACATGACCTGGAAGATATTGAAGAAATAAGCTAATTTTTACATCAAAATATTAATATAAAATATTTAGAGTATTAAAATGGAA